AGAGTCTCTTAATCTAAGAATACGTTCAACTTGATGATAGGTAAACATAAAAATCAAAACATATGTTTGGATATGTGAAGTGGTGGGATCCTGATTTTAAGTCTGCAATCCCCTCTTTGATGGGGATGCTGCTTATGGTGTGGTATGCTAAATTGTACTGAGGAGAAATTGGGTGGATTGGGCCTTTAATCATTGGAATATGGAAGAACAAGAAGCAATCTTATTGAAACATACAAAATTTGTCAATGGCAAGACAGGGTAGATGAGGGAAAATTTTTTCCCATGTGGGAAACAGCCTAGGATCAGAAGGCACAACCTCAAACTAAAGGGTTGCATATTTAAGATAAAGATGAAGAAGAATTTCTCCTCTCAGAGGGTGGGGAATCTGTGGAATTCTTTGCGAAAGAGATCTGTCAAGACTGGATTGTTCAGTATTTCAAAGATGAGATAGACAGACTTTTAATCATTAAGGGAACTAAGGTTTATGAGAAAAATACATGAAAGTGCAGTTGAGGATTATCAGATCAGCCGTGATCTCATTGAGTGGCAAAGCAAACTCAATGGGCTGAATGGCAGCTTTTATGGCACACACAGGACAATCTGTGGGGTCACAAAGGATGACTGCAGCATTTCAAGATTTTCCAGATTCTAGAAACAGGTTCTAGAGCAAAAGACTCAACAGGAGGAATGAGAATGAAAGCACATTTGTCAGATCTGGGCACCATACCAGATGACAGGATTGGAGCTGCAATAAACACAAATGAACCTAGGGAACAATTAACAGGCGATTCAGATGTGACTGAAAATATCATAACTCAATAAACTGCCCAAAAAGGGATCCCAAAGTGTTGCATGAGACATAAAATCAGAGGGTGAAGCTGATGAATATGATCAGACTGAAGGGAATTGCATTAGTATCAAAGAGGTTTAGTCTGGTGATGTATTAGTAATAATAGAATCATTTGATTATGCAGCATTAGGTAGTAGTTGCACCTCAACAATGTGTGAAATAGGTTGACTAAAATGTTGACTAGATTCATTCAAGTAGTGTGGATTTACATTAGGTCAGAGAATATGAAAGTTTTAGTTTCAAGAATGACAACACATTTAGGTCCCTAAAATGAGTGACTGTTCAATACAAAATAGCTGAAATAGGCCACTTTACAAGGACAGATGTAATCTCTAGTGAGATAGTTTCATAAATTTTGCATAAAAAGAATTACAAATTAAACTAGACATCAGGCACAATAAAACAATCATTTTTGGAGTCATTTAATCTGTGGTTTACCCAATCAGAGCACTGCTGTATACTCTTAACAAAATCTGACATACTAATTGGAGAAGATAAGGACAAAAGAAAGAGGAGCAGGACTAAGCCATTCAGCCCTTTGAGCCTGCTCTGCTATTTAATGAAACAATGTTGATCTTCTACTTCAACAACATTGCTCTGCGCTTTCCGTGTATTCCTTGATGTTTGTAACATGTAGAAGTATATCGATCTGAGTCTTGAACATGCTCAATGCCCGAGTCTTCACAGCCCTCTGGGGTAGAGAATTGCAAAGGTTCACCTCCCTCTGAGCGAAGAAATTTCTCTTCATCTCAATGTCAAATAGTGTATCAGTTATTCTATGAGCTGGTTCTGGATAATCCCAACCAGAGGAAATGCCCTTTCTGTATCTGTGTTCTCAGACGTATTAGTGGAATCAGGTGATAACAATCAGAGAAAAAAAATTAAAACTACCCTAAAGCTCACTTTGTTCGCCCTCCTTGTCAAAGATTAACAATCCAGCCACGGGCTACAGAAGTGGTTGTTAAAGAGTATACAAAAGGTTTACAGGAGAGATTAGAGCAAAATATGAAATATGTAAACTGTGTAGGAGGATGCTCCAATGTCCTGTTGTAAGCCTTCCATTTGCACATGATTTTAATGGGGTAGCTGGCATCAAACTTGTTATGAGCAGTGAAAATGGAATATCAATATTCAACTTTCATTATTTGAATTTAGTATTTGAAACATTCATGGACTAAGAACAATTTTTTTGAAAAAGGAGACTGTTAGCTTTAAGAGGCTGCTCTGATCACTTTAAAAGTGGAGACAAACCACATGGGAGAACATACAATAACTGACTGCCTCACAATTTCCAATGTTAATCCAGGAGCATTGAAATTGAAACAAAAACAGAAACTGCTGGTGAAGCTCAGCAGATCTGGAAGCATCTATGGAGATAAAAATGATTTGGGTCCGGTGACTTTTTGACCATTGGAGGTCAGTGAGGTGTCAAGCAATTTGCATCTCTTGTTTTACTTACACTTGTATGATAACTTCACATGTTAAAGATGAAAGTTACTGGCAGAGTGTTCAGTTGAAAAAGACAGTAGAGCTACTCTGGGAATATACAAACAAATCATATGTCAGTAGATAACAAGGTGTAGAGCTGGATGAACACAGCAGGCCAAGCAGCATCAGAAGATCAGGAAAACTGACGTTTCGGGCCTAGACCCTTCTTCAGAAAATTTTCTGTGTTCATCCAGCTCTACACCTTGTTATCTCAGATTCTCCAGCATCTGCAGTTCCTACTATCATATGTCAGTAGTTTGCTTTAAGCAAAATGAGGGAGGAAGCAACATGGATCAAACACAGCAAGGATAAGGAAAGTGCCAAGTCTTTTTCTCGCTGTCGCTCTTTTAACGCAAGCTTGGATACGTAGTCAATGAAAAGGAATTTGGAACAATAGCAATGATTTATTGATGATCCTGGGACAACTGGAGTTTATCCGGGACAAATGGAGTCTATCTAACTAATAGAGTTAATCAGGGGAGCCAGTGGAAGTGGTTACTTGGATTTTCAGAAAGCTTTCAGTAAAGTCCCACATAAGAGGCTAACATTTAAAATTAAAGTACGTGGGATTGGAATAGTGCACTAACATGGATAGAGAACAGGTTGGCAGACAGAAAACAAAGCGAAAGAATAAACGGGTCTTTATCCGAATGGTAAGCAGTGGCTAATGGTGCATGCAGAGATCGGTGTTTGGAATCCCAGCTATTCATAATATATATTAATAATTTAGATGAGGAAACTAAATATAGTATCTCCATGTTTGCAGACAACAGAAAGCTGAGTGGGAAGGTGAACTGGGAGGAGGTTAAAGAGATGCTTCAGTATGATTTGGACAAGTTGAGATAATGGACAAATGAAGGATAATATGGATAAATGTGAGGTATTCACTTTGGGAGCAAAAACAGGAAGATGGATTATTATCTGAATGGTGATAGATTGGGAAAGGGACAGGTGCAATGAAACCTGGGTATCCTTCTACACTAGTTGCATAAAGTAAACGTGCAGGTGCAGCAGGTAGTGAAGAAGACAAGTGTTATGTTGGCCTTCATAAAGTAAGGATTCAAATACAGAAGTAGGGGTGTCATGCTACAATTATACAGGGGCTTGGTGAGATCAGACCTGAAGTATTGCGTGCAGTTTTGTTCTCCATAAATAAAGAAGGATGTTCTGGCTATGGAGGGAGTTCACAACTGATTCCTGGGATGGCAAGACTAACATATGAAGAGAGACTGAATCAGTCAGGACAATATTCACTGGAGTTCAGAAGAAAGAGGGAGGATCTCATGGAAATCTATAAAATTCGAACAGGACTAGACAGACTAAATGCAGGAAGGATGTTCCCGAAGACAGGGGAGTCTAGAACAGGGGTCATAAGTATACAGGGTAGGCCATTTAGAACGGAGATGAGGAGATATTTCTTCATTCAAAGTGTGGTAAGCCTGTGGAATTCTCTGCCATAGAAAATGGTTGAGGCCAAAATAATAAATGTTTTCAAGAAGGCGTTAGATATAGTTCTTACGGCTAAAGGGATCAAAGGGTATGGACAGAACACAGGAACGGGGTATTGAGTTGGATGGTCACACAATGTTTCTGTGGGACATTGGCAGCTTCATTATGACAGAGGAAACAGGACAGAAGCTAAGCAGTTGAAACGTTTCCCTCCTGCAACTCAAAGATTCTAAAAAAACTGTGAACTGCAATCTCCTTTACCTTCTGTCTGTACCAGAAGGCCTCCACTTCCAAACTTCTTTGTAAATTCATTACTTGTGTTTTAGTCTGTATGACGGTCGCCATGTATTATGTGAATCTTCATCCAATAGAAGGTTTGGGTATAAAAACCTCCTGATAGTTTTATAGAGAAGTCAATGGTGCTTTAAAACCTAATATCAATAGCAAATGGCAGGTCCCAGAGAATATTATTCCAAACCTCCAAAAGTCAATGACAGATTCTTAAAGGACAATATTAGCATTTGTCATCTCAAACATGTCTGCTTTTGTCATCTCTGCAGATGTGTCAGCCTGATGCTAGCTACCTTTGGAAACATTCAGACAATCTATACTCATCCTCTTCTCTGCAGCATCTGACATCTCTATCTTTATCGTGGCTGCCATACACAGTAATTTATTATCCACCCCATTGTTCAGTTAAGCAGTCGTTCTCCTAACTTGGATTTTTTAATCAAATAGTTGTCCTCTTGATGTATTCTTGGGAGTTCAGTTAACGCAGTTGAATGGGCAGCTCGCTTGTGACGAAGAATAACATCAATAGGATGAGTTCAATTCCCATGCTGGCTGAAGTCAGTATGAGAACATCACCTTTTCAACCTCATCTCTCATCATATATGTGGTGACCTCAAGTTAAACTCATCACCATATTGTCACTTTCACTCCATTCTTATACAGGAGTTTCATGTTCAACTTCAAATCCAAGTACTTTTTATAAATTGTAGTTTTTGGAATGTAATACTAAAATTTTAACTTCATTTCTTTATTTTCTATTTCATTCCTAAGATTTTGTATCTAGGTACCTTTGTAGGTAAAATGGCACCAGAGAGTGGCAATTTTGTACACATTTCACTTGTAGTCTTGTATCCCTGCACTTCAGTACGTATGACAATAGAACCTAATTCTAATTCTAATTCGAAATAGTAAATTCTCTTACCTATTCCATTTAACTGGCTCATCTGAAAGGAAGGACCAGCGAAACTTTACTGGCAGGGGGCTGCAATTTATCATCTCCACGTAGTGCACTATCTCAGTATCATTGAGGATACAACCAAAGTCCACCATATCAGTTTCGAAGTGCAGGTTTGGGAAGTGCACTTCTCCCCTCAAGACCACATAATCCACGTGTGGGTGTTCCGAGTACCGGATTGTCAGAACCTCCTCTATTACACGAGTGTACAAGTCATCCTTATACGATGGGTCAAATTGGATTAACAACTCAAGATGCTCATCGACATCCAGTTTAACAGTCTGGGTATAGAAAAGGTGACATCAATTAGGAGGAGGAGAGTATTGTTAACAGCCCCAGAACTGTAAACATTAAAATACATCATCAATACAAGAAATTCAGACCTTTTGAAGCTTTAGACATTGAATTAACTGCTCCATTTCCAACAGATTCTTCAAGCATTCCAATCCTTCAAAATAATGATAATGCTAAGGTGTACTTGTTACCAATATAATACAAAACCTACGTTTAAAGAGAACCCTAAAGCCTTCTATTGCTGTCCTTTATTAGTGTAATATAAGAGATCACAAAAACTCTCAAAACATTTACAACCCAACCTGATCACTCAAGCCCATGAAGACGCTGTGGTCAGACAGGCAGGCAACAAATTTTGTTCCAAGCAAAAGAAATCATTGTCACTTTAGACAATAATGCTATCCCATTGACATAGAAACAAAATGAGGCCGGGCATTTACCAGGCAGGAAGTGTCCTCAGCAGTGAAAGATATGTTTACAGATGGAGGAGGCTTTTTCTGAAAAAAACTTGTTTTCATTCATGGGATAGGTGCATCACTAGAAAGGCTAGAATTTATCATCCAATTCATGGTGCGCTTGCGAAACGGGGCAATGAGCCAATTTCTTCAACCACTGTAATCTATGTGATGTATGCACACTCACAGTGCTGATAAGTAAGAAGTTCCAGAAACTTGACCTAATGCATTTGAAAGAAATGCTACATAGTTCCAAATCAGGAAAGTGTATGACTAGGAGAGGAACGTGAAGGTGGGGTTTTACAATGCACTAGCTGCCCTTGATTATTCTATGTGGTGAAGCTATGAATTTGGGATGTGCTGTCAAAGAAGACTTATAAATTGGTGAAGTTCATTTTGATTTGCATCATTGCACCACACTGTCTCAGCATGGGTGGGCGGCACGGTGGCACAGTGGTTAGCACTGCTGCCTCACAGTGCCAGGATCCTGGGTTTGATTCTGCCCTTGGGTGACTGTCTGTGTGGAGTTTGCACATTCTCTCCATGTCTGTGCGGGTTTCCTCCCACAGTCCAAAGATATACAGACTAGGTGGATTGGCCATGCTAAGTTGTCCACAGTGTTCAGGAATGAGTGGATTAGATGAGCTATGAGGGGTTGGCTCTGAAGGTTGGTGTGGACTTGTTGGGCCGAAGGGCCTGTTTTCACACTGTACTGATTCTATGAAATGGACTGTCCATCAAGTGGACTGTTTTGCCTTGGATAGTATCAAGCTTAAGTGTTGAAGCTACAAACATTCAGCAAATGGAAAGTATTTCACCGCCCTCTTAATTTGTGTTTGTAAGTAAAGCAAAGGCACTGGGGAGATAAGTCAGCTGCTACACAATATCCAGCCTCAGACCTGGTCTGGTAGCTATGATATTATGTAGTTGGTCCACTTAAATTGCCAGTCAACGGTGACCCTGAGATGTCAATGGTGTAACGGGAAGGTGGTTAGACTTTCTCACTTGTTGGAGAAGATAGTTTCCTGTCATTTCAGTGATGCAACTGTTAATTGTTCCTTATCAGCCGAAGCCTGATGCGGTTCAGGGCTTGGTGCATGTGGGTGGGTTGGTATAATGAGATCAAGAGTGAGTGATCCTTGTGAACCTAAACTGAGCATTGGTGAGCAGATTATTGGTGACTAAGTGCTGCTTGATAGTTCTATCAATGACATACTCCATTCATTTTGCTATGCTTTAGAGTAAGCTGATGGGTCAATGAATTGACTATGTGGATTTGTCCTGTTTTTTGAAGACAGGCCATATCTCAATCATTTTTCACTTTGTCAACTAGGTACTAGTATTATAATGTAGCAAAACAGCTTGGCTAGGGGCATGGGTTGCCCTGGAACACAGGATCTGAGCATTACAATCAAGATGCTGTCTGATCCCTGGGCTTTGCTGTATTCAGTACACTCAGTTGTTCCTTGAAATCACAAGGAGTGAATTGAAATCACAAGGAGTTGAACACCTTAGAAGGAGGACCAGGTGGGTCATCCATGTGGCACCTTAGGCTAAAAATGGTTGCAAGTCTGTCAGCTTTGCCTTTTGCTCTGATATGCTAAATTGTACCATCACTGAAGATGGGGACTGACATAAGGTTTCCTCTTTCTCTGGTTAACTGTTTTTTTGCCCACTCCTATTCATGACTGATTTTGGCAGAACTGCAGGGCTTTAATCTTATCTACTGGGGTCTGTGCAGGGTCTGTTTATAAAATGCTGCTTCCACAGTTGAGCAGTAACCTGTCAGAGTCCTATGTTGTACTTATACCACTTTTGCCTAGTGCTGTACCAGGTATGCTCCACTGCAATCCTTCATTGGTCACTTGAATTGAAAATAATAGCAGAATGAAGAATATGCTTGTCCACATGGTTAATGATTACGGTGGATTTAAATTCTGCTGCTAATTATGGTTTTCTGCCCTTTACCCATGCCCAGTTTTGAACTGCAAGATCTAGTCTTGATCTTACATTTAGTAGTGGTAGTTCCAAACACAATGCAGTGTGTCCTCAATGTGAATTCAGAACTGTGTGGTGGCTATTCCATTACTAATGAACAAATGTGTGCAACAGATAGATTAAGGAAGATTAGTAAGGTTTTATCCTAACCGCTGGCCTGTAGTCTGGCAGGTACATCCTGTTGGACTCAGCTATTTTGGCTCGTTGTGGAAAAACTTAATGGCTAGGAATTCCACACTCAGAGGACAATCTAAGTCGTTGTTACCTTCAGTCTCTCTTTCACTATAATGTTTAACATGCAGAAGTACTGATTAATTTGTTGTTTAGTGGGAGTTAAACAGCAGATTTAATTGCTCATGTTTGACCTGATGGTATACTTTAAAAGGTTGGAGAAGCATTTAACAGGTGAAACTCGTGATTAAAAGAGTAGATAGCAGAGTCATTTATCAGTCTGAAAAGGTATTTAATGGTTGGAAAGATGTTTTAACATGAGAGGTGTTAAGACAGATGTTGATCAGGTAAGAGGATGTTTAACAGGTTTCTGAGAAGTTATACATTTTACATTATTAACCAAAGTTAGACAAAGCCCAAGAGAAAGTTTGATTAATACTTTTTTTTAGGATTTTCTTCATTCTTCAAATGATGAGCATCCCCCACAACATCAAAAAGTAATTCAGAACTAGAAAATTCAATAGCATTGATACACTTAATAGGATATGCTCACTTAATCTGTCCACAAACCTGTCATGGAGCACAGACCAGCCTAAGTGTAGTGATGCCCCTGCTGAGAATAGCTGGCATTAAGTATCCTAAAGATCGGGGAAAGCAGGGGTTGTTTCTCATTTTGACGGGGTCAGAAGTCAAACAAGGCAGGTTATAATCCAACAGATTTATTTGAAATCACAAGCTTTAGAAGTGCTGCTCCTTTGTCAGGTGAAGTGGGTAACGGTGGGGGTGAGAGAAGAGGGGGCAGAAGGGGAGGGGAGTGAGATCAGGACAGGGAGGCGAGAGAGCAGGGCTTGGGCAAATCGAAGAACCAGATGGAGTGGCAATGGGGGTGTGGTTTCTTAACCATTGTTTCCTTTTTGCGCTCCATCCCCAGCTTCTGGGGCCCATTCCCAATCCAGGGGATTCCCCCACACCCTTCTCACTTCATGTGGGATCACACCACCCTGCCCTTCTCACTCAATGTTGGATCATGGCATTTCCGCACAAAGTCACATGTAAAATCTACATGTGGGCATGTTTAAATGAGTGTACATGCATGTCTACAGTTTCAGTGTCAGCAAACACTGCCAAATTTGAAATGGGTCTACTCTCTGGTGCCCATGGAGGTGAGAGCAGGATTCAAAAGCCAGTGTATCCCAGTCCCAGACAATGATGTCATTCAAGCCACACTTGTAATAGACTTGCCGTCAGATTATCAAAGTGGAAAGGCCAAAAGATTCAAGCTTAAAGTTTCTGTGTCACTTCATCACCACATACATAAACAAAATCCTTAATTCTAAATAACAGAGTTTTAAAAGATTAAATTTCACTTTGTGATCCAGCTGATGAATATAAATCAATCTCTCCCTTGATAAAATCACTTGATCACCAAACAAGGAAACTTGTGATCACGCCAAAGCTCTAGTAACATAGATACAAACTATCTTAGCACTGGCATTTGATTAGTATCTTTTAGTAATCCCCATTAAACAATCTATACATATATTCCCATGAGCTAGTGTCCTTGAAAAGCAAATTTGATTGAAAACAGCAATTTCATCTACCTTTGAAATGGTTGTTGTCTCAAGCTCCACGTTTTCTACAATTCCAAATGGTCCTTCCATCTTTAGGATCAAGGTGAGAGGCAATGGGGATACGTTCTTCAACGTAAGAGGCATGTATTGAGGAACCAGCTTGACATGTTTGGGCTGCAGGCATAAGAATACAGACTCAGGTTTTCAGAATAGGAACTACCACAACACACATGAAAGGCTCCATGACCTACACTGGTTCCCAATTAAGCAACATCTGAATGCTCATTTTCTCATTCTCAAACCCTTCTACGGCCTCAACTCTCCCGATCTTTGTAATCTCCTACAATCCCTATAATCGGCCAAAATATCTATGTACCTTCAACTTTGATTTCTTGATCATGCCTGATTTTAATTGTTCCACTACTGGTGGCTGTGCCTTCAGCTGCAGAAGTCCCAGACTCTTGAATTCCACATAACATTTTTCATCTCTTTCAAAGTGTCCTTTAAGATGGAATTCTTGATCAAGCTTTCAGTCACCAATGTCTCCTCATAGAGCATGATGTCCACCTTTGCTTGATAACATTTCTTTTATGCATCTTGGGATATTTTACTATATCAAAGGTACTGTATAAATACAATTTACTATTCTTGTTTTTAAGATATTTTCTTAAGATATCTGTTTTTATTATATCTTTGACATCCTCTATCATTTGGGTTTTCTATCATAATATATACCAGCTCATTTGCAGGCAAATCTTGTGTTGTTGGGGGTCTCTTCCACCAGCTGGAGAGACAAATGAGAGGCCTGTGCTCCCTCCATTCAGGATGAACCCTGAGGTTCTGAACAGCAAACAGCTATTATGCTCAGTGGTGCCATTAGTGAGGCAATGGTTACTGCCGGGAGGACTTTCCTCCCCTCCCCTCACCTTCAAGTCGAAGGGTCACAAAGACTCAGGCCACAGGTAAAGAGGTATTTGTGTGGTAGAAGATCATCCCACAGATATCCAGATCCTGGACCAAAGGCAACCACATGCCAGAGTGATCTGCCTGGTTTTAGCTGTTGGGCCTTCCAGTATATGGCACGCATCCTTGCAGCTGGGCCAATCCCAGCACGTGGCTTCTAACTGGCAACCAAGAGCCTTCCCACTCAAAACCTAATGCTGGTGGAGAGAAGAAGACAGCAGGGTTCAGGTACACTCTGCCAGCGTTCCCTCTAAGTCATACAACTGTGCAGCCACTCTGAGGTTCCAACGCATTGACTTCTGGTTTCGGAAGATGTGGCCACAGACCTACCTCAAACTTCTGGCCCATATTAATGACTAGCAAAAATCTGTACACCTATATTCTCCCAACCTCTTGTACACCCATGTCATGTGAATAGCATTCCACTGATAGGAAGTGTTGAGACGATACTGGCATGGTGCCAGATCACATCACTCCTTGTTCTCCATTTATAATCCATTCAATAGAGTTTCCCTTTTTATGAAAAGGTCCACAAGATGCTTTGCAGAAAAGATGAAGGATGCAAAAGAGGAACATCATATCCTGAGAGTTCTTTGAATCCGTGAATATCCAGAGTGCCAGCAAAAGCCTTTGACACAGTACGTTTCACATTCAGCCCGAGGAAGCAAACAATCAATGAAAACAATTCAAACAAAGTGATCAGCATCTCCACTATTTATCACTGTTCAATAGGACTGTTATTGGAATAAATTTGGATACTGTATTTTTCTCAAAGAATTATGGGAAGTGTACTTAAAAAGTAAATCCACCTAAATCTTAAATAAGCAAAGGGCGAGTTTATATCCAAGGTCATGATTGTTTTAGTAGCAGCTTGCTAATGAACACAATTTGGACTGTATCCAAAATTGATTGGTGGCATCAGAAGATCTCAATGACCTAAAACAAGCAATGATCTGAAACAAAAACAGCCAGGGGCACCAAAATGCAAACAGGACTAATGTGCATGTTTGCCCCAACTGAGCAAACAAATGTGGCAGGCAAAGGAACTGCACTACAGATAACATCTGACAGGGAAGGGTAGCAGGAGTAATGGCGAGATGCAAAGATGAACTGAACTCATTTAGCTCAAGAAGCAATATGGGCAGGTTGGTTGACAGAGTTTTCATTTTAAATCTCTGCAACGTGGTGGCCTTGACTAGCTTCTTGTAAAGCATGGCTATGTTTTGGAAAATTAACTCCTTTATAGCTGTGCAGCAAATTAATTTGGCTGGTAAAATGACTGGTGCCAGAAAAAGAGGCAGGACCTCCCAACATTATTTTGTTTTACCTTTCTGCCTGTGCTCCATCCCAATTCAAGATGATGAAATCCAACGTAAGGTACCCTGTATTTATCTGCCTCAAGTGTTATGAAAGTGAACTATCACCTCGCCCAACCCCCACCTTTCTTGCCTTTTGATGAAAGGCCCATTTTGATTAAAAGACAACAACTTTGTTATGCTGCAAGATCTCCAGATCTATCCCTGGGAAATCAGCTCGATCTTTTCTCCTACCACTGCTCTGGTCACACCTACTTCTTGAGAGGTCTCACTTTTGGTTTGTAGAACATCACATGTAAAGTGGTCAGCTTCTCTTCATATCCACTTTTACTTGATCAGAAATTCCACATGTATTTCTTAACTTGCACAGGGTGCAATTTTTGTTATTGCAACCAGTAGACATTACAATATCCCACAGGATCCATTCTGCAATTTCCCTGCAAGTTGCATTAATTTTCAAGTAATATAACAACAAGTGTTACTTGTAAACTGCACATTCAAGCAACAACCTGGAAGATAACACATGGACCACTCACAAGCTGTTCCCTTTAAAGTGCCATTGCCTGAAAATTAGAGATACTTCACAGGATCACAGAAATGTTACAGTGTAGAAGGACTGGCCAAATGAGCATTATGACTTTGTCATTCTCCTACCTTTTCCCTTGCACATTGAATGATTATTTAAATAAAAACAATGCCCTCTTGAATGGCTCAACTGAACGTGCCTCCAGCACACTTACAGGCAGTGCAGTCTGGATCCTTACCATTCATTGAGTGAAAAAGTACTTCTTCACATTGCATCTGCTACATTTGAAAATCTCTTTAAATCTGTGTCCTCGCCTTCTCAGTCTTTTTACTGTTACTCTCTAGCTACTCTGTTCAGATCTTGCAAGATTTTGAAAACTTGTGTCAGAACTCCTTTTAGACTTCTTATCTCCATGGAGAACAGTCACAACCTCTCCAATTGATCCTCATAACTGAAGTTGCTCATTGCTGGAAACATTCTTGTTAAAGTCTTCTGTACACTCTCCAATTCATTATTACTTATACGCTTATTGTGGATTGCTTATTGGCCTTTTCTATTGTCATCCGAAACCTTACAATACAATGCTCACTGTCCCCTAAATGAGGCCCCACTGATGTTTATCTATTTGGCTAACCTCATTTCCAAGAACCATGTCCAACAATGCACCCTTTCTTGTTAGATTGGACATACACTGCTGCAGAAAACTTGCCTGAATGTAATTGAGGAACTAAAAACAAAATTACTGGTGAAACTCAGCATGTCTGGCAGCATCTGTGGGAAGTTAGCATTAAGAGTCTGGTGACTCTTCATCAGAACTGTCAGCAACTAGGAAAAGGTAGTATTTATGCTGAAGACTAAGTTGAGAGAAGGGGACAAACAGAAGAGGTGAGTGGATAGGTAGAGATGGAGCCCAGAGAGATATGAAAAGGGATAGGTAAATAAGGAGATTATGGATAGCAGGCCAAGACAGAAGTAAAACTAAATAAGTGATAATAAGAGCTAAGAGTAGGAGAGGATGTGTGAGCTGTTCTGAAAACAACCCACATTATGTGATAATTGACAAAAAACCAAAAGAACTACGAATGCTGGAAATCTGAAACAAAAGCAGAAATGCTAGACAATATCAGCAGGTCTGGGAGTATTTATGGAGAAAAATCAGAGTTAACATTTCAGGTCCAGTGACCCTTCTTCAGAACGGGACTCCTTCTTCAGAACGTGATAATAGGCCTAGTAGTAGGTCTGAATGGGTGACTGTGCTAAAAGCAACACATGTCCTAACAGGACTTGATGGGGGAGTGGGTAAAAAAAATGGCTGGATGGAATCTGGTTCTAAAGTTATTGAACTCAATTTTGAGTCCTATAGGCTGCAGAGTCCCCGAGTGGAAAACGAGATGTTGTCCTTCAAGTTAGGAATCGAGCAATGTTTCTCTGCTTTCACTGGCCCACTCTTCATTCAGGTCACCTATTTTTACTACTTTATAATGTTTGAACCTCCCTGTGATTTTCCTGTAGGTTTGTTCCTCTACATTCTTCCCACTAGTTAACAGTCCTTTTGCTCCAGCAGTGCAATATTTCCACAACCCTCCCTATCTGAACATCTTATATGCAGAATGGACAAGATAGGGAGAGGAGGTATTAGCAGTACTAAAGCTGAAAATAGATAAATCCTCAGGCTGCTAATAGGAGGCAAGGGAGGAGATTGCAGGGGCTCTGACATTAACTTCCAAATCCTCTTTGGCCACTAGAGGGATGCCAGAGGACTGCAGGGCAGCTGATGTGGTACCATTATTCAAGAACAGTGGCAAGGATAAACCAGGAAACTACAGGCTAATGAGTCTAACATTTGTGGAAGGGAAACTACTGAAAAAAATTTGATGGACAGGATTAATTAAGGATAGTTAGCATGGTTTTGTGAGGGAAAGATCATATTTAACAAATTTGACTGAATTTTTCAAGGAGATGACTAGGTGTGTAGATGAGAGTAGTGCAGTTGATTAATTTACATGGACTTCAGTGAGGCTTTTGACAAGGTCCTGCACGGCAGACTGGTGAAGCAGCTAAGAGCCCATGAGGTCCAGGGCAATTTGGCAAACTGGATCCAAAATTGGCACAGAGGCAGGAAGCAGAGGATGAAGGATGAAGGGTATTTTTGTGACTGGGGGCCTCTGTCCAGTGGCATACCACAGGATTCAGTGCTGAGTCCCCTATTGCTTGCACGGTACATTAACGATCTAGACAAGAATGTACGCGGTATGATCAGTAAATTCACAGATGACACAAAAATTACTGGTGTGGTATAGTGAGGAGGAAAGTCTTAGGATGATGTGATGGGCTGAGCAGTAGCAAATGGAATTTAATCCTGAAAAGTATGAGATGATGCATTTTGGAAGGACTAAAAGGCAAGGCAATACACATTGAATGGTAGGACACAAGGAAGTACAAAGGATCAGAGGTTCTTTGGCGTGGATGTCCATAGATCCTTGAAGACAGCATAGGTGGTAGGTAGATAAGGTGATTAAGAAGGCATATGGGACTTACTTTTGTCCGTCAAGGCATTGAATACAAGAGAAAGGAGAATTTGATGGAGCTGTGTATTGCTAGTTAGGCCAAAGATGGAGTACAGTCTGTCATTCTAGTTGCCACACTGTAGGAAGGACGGGATTGCTATAGAAGGTGCAGAAGAGGTTCACCAGAATGTTGACTGGGCTGGAGTGATCCAGCTATGAAGAGAGACTAGATAGGCTGCGGTTGATTTCCATAGAGCAACGAAGAATGAGGGAAAATCTGATTGAGATAGAACAAAGAACAATACAGCACACGAACAGGCCCTTTCACTCACCAAGCCTGTGCCAACACTTGACACCTTCCTAAACTAAAAACTTTTTGTCTTCACGCGGTCCACACACCTCTATTCCCTGCCTATTCATATATCTGTCAAGATGCCTCTTAAAGATTGCTATTGTATCTGCCTCCACCACCTCCTCTGGCAGTGCGTTCCAGGCACATACTACCCTCTGTATAAAAAACCTGCCTCATACATCTTCTCTAAATCTACCCCCTTATACCTTAAACTATAGCACCTAGTAATTGACATTTCTACCCTAGGAAAAAGACTCCAACCATCCATTCTATCCATGCCCCTCAATTTTGTAAACTTCTATCAGGTTATCTCTCAGCCTCCAACATTCAAAAGTGAAAAAGAACCATCCAAATTCTTCTCACGGTTAATACCCTCCAAACCAGCTAACTTCCTGATAAGCCTTTTCTGTATCCTCTCCAAAGCCTCTAGTCGTGTGGCGACCAGAACTGTATACAATGTTCCAAATGTGGCCCAACTAAAGTTCTATATAGTTGCAACATGACTTGCCAATCTTTATACTCTATGTCCTGACCAATGAAGGCAAGCATTCCATATGCCGCCTTGACTATCTTATCCACTTGTGTTGCCACCTTCAGGAAACTATGGACCTGTATGCCTAGATCCCTCTATGTTGATGCTACTAAGGGATCTGTTATTTACTGTATATTTCGCTCCAGCATTAGATCGCCCAAGATGTGTCACCTCACATTGTCCAGGTTAAATTCTATCTGCCATTTCTGTTCTACCTGTATCCTATCAAATCCTTTGGCAATCCTCCTCACTATCTGCAGCTCCCTCAATTTGTGTGTCATCTGCACACTTACTAATCAAGCCACCTACATTCTCCTCCAAATCATTTTTTTAATATATTACACTACACACTGATCCCTGGGGAACACTGAGATAGCAAGAACTGCAGATGCTGGAGTCAGATTCAATACAGTGTGGAGCGAAACGTCGACTTTCCTGTGCCTCTGCTGCCTGACCTGCTGTGTTCCTGCAGCTCCATACTGTATTGTCCCTGGGGAACACCACTGGTAACAGATTCCAGTCATAAAAGAGAATGTACAAAGACAGTTTTGATAATGGGAAACATTTCCTCCTATTGGAGGGGTCAATAAGGTTTAGAGGGGAGTAGAGGAAAAATGTTTGTAACCAGAGGGTTATGGGTATCTGGAACTTATTACCTAAAAAGTGGTCGAGGCGGAAATCCTCAAAACATTTAAGAACAATTTAAATGAACACTTGTAACACCATAGCATCCATGTCTAAGGGCCACATGCTGAAAATGGACTACAGTAGATGAAAAAAAAATGCTAAAAACTGTGTATGATTGAAATCCAAAACAAAAACAGAAATTGCTGGAGAAATTAAGCAGCTCTGGCAGCATCTGTGGAGTTGGCATTTTGGGTCTGGTGTTTTTGCTCAGAATTAAATATCTATAACTCTAAATGGATGCTTGATGAATGACACAGACATGATGGGCCAAAAGACGTCCTTCCTTGTTGTAAAAACTCTAAGACTGTAGCATTTAACACCTAATCCTCCCCTCCTAATCCAGATCTCTGTTGTCACCACAAAATCATATTTCCACATGGCAATCTGCACATGTGACTCCCCAGTATTATTTACTACACTCTGTGCATTCATACACATAGATGTCAGTACTTTCACCCTCAGTCCAACTTCCCCTATTCACTTTCTTTCCTCTGTACAAGTGCTATCTGTATTTTGTATACCCTGGTATTAACTTAAGTTTCTTTCCTAGTTCTTACATCCCAGCACAGCAAAACACCCTGCAAGGATCTCAGTCTCAGCTCAGGTCAGGTGCAACATGTCTGACTTGTACAGATGCCATCTTCCCCAGGGCCAGTCCTAGTCTCAGTGTCCCAATATTCTGTCCTATACTATTTTTTTCAGTTATACATTCATCTGCCTTATTGTTCAATTTCTGTTCTCATTTGTTCCTGGCAGTGGGAGTAATCTGGACATTACTACATTTGACAACCTGTTCAGTGATTCTATACCTAGCTCCCTAAATTCCGATTGCAGGACCACACAGTTCCCCTTCCTATCTAGGTTTTTGGTATCAATGTGGACCATGACCTCTGTCTGTTCGCCATCTCCAAGAAGAATGTCCTGCATTGACTCAGTGACATCCTTGTACTTGGTATCAGGTAGGGTCACGTCTATAGTCCAAAGAAACGCCTGTCCATTCTTCTCACCAACGAATCCCCTATCACTTTTGCTCTTCTTACTCCACTCTTCTGCAGCCAACATGATCATGGTGGCACAAATCTGGCTCTGACTGCACTCCCTTGAGGATCCAGCTCTTTTATCACGTTCTAAAAACAGAAAAATAACTTGTGAACTAGACCCCAGGGAACACCTGCACTACCTACCTGCTTCCATTGGACTACATCTTATGTCCTATCGACACAGTTGTCAGTCTTGCAGATGTGTCACAATGACTGCAACTATGATTGGAGCTCTGAAACCCTAAGCTCACATTTCTACATTTGGTAGCATTTCCTGCACATTTGGTCTTCTTGGACAATGATAGGATCCATGACCTCCCACGTTACAAGCCTTACATTCTACCGACTGAGCTGTGCTGTCATGTCTTCAATTGATTTCCCTTACTTTAACTTTATTCTCCTCACATTACTTGCATTACTTTATTATATTGGTCCTGACTCACCCTTATTCTTGGCATTTCTCCGTTAACTCCAAATGTAGCTGTTTCTTTAAAAATAATATGCTTCTCTAACTTACAGCAATTGAAAGACAGTTTGTAATGGCAAATTCTGGCCAACAAATGATTTTGTTTATCTGTAATGTCTTTTTTTGATAAAGATGGTAGAGGTTTGCAACTTTCTTCTCCAAACTAGATCAATTGCAAATTTTAAATGTAAGATTGATAGATATTTGATATCCTAAAGTGTTAAGGATATGGATCAAAGGTGAGTATATGATGTTAGAATGCAGCTCAGCCAAGATCTCACTGAACGGTGGAACGGCAGAACTGGTTCAGGAGATAGAATTGGTCACAAAAACAAAGTTGCTGGAAAAGCTCAGCAGGTCTGGCAGCATCTGTGAAGGAGAAAACAG